GCTGCAAAAACGCTGCTGCCGCCTCTGCGACTGTGATCTTATCTCGCACAGACACAACCGCGCAGCGCTCGCTTGGTTGTCGCTACGAGGAGCCTTTTATTTTCAGTCCCTGAACAAATGCGCTGCCTGTGTCTGGTATCAAACCTTGGCTGGAGGCTCAAGGTGCCTGGGCTGAGCTCTCCCGTCCCCGCACTGCAGGACGAGCCTGGCAGGAGCAGGACCAGAAGGTGGTTCCCCCAGTTGCCAGCTGTGATTTGTGATGTGCCACGATGGAAGATGGAAGGAAGGGAGATCACAAAACCTCCTCCTGCTCGGCTTTATCTCAGCCAAGAGCTGGCTGCACACTGCAGGCAACGGGAGAGCAGCTGATGAGTTCACCACAGCCACCCTTCCCAGGTTCCTACATTAGCATAACAATTACAGCCCCAGAGGCTGTAATGAGAATACAGGCTTTAAAAAATATACTACAATTTAACGGAGAAATTAATAGTGTAGCAAATTGTAATGCTCAGTGCCTCAGCTGTGTCTTGAGCGACAGCTGTACGTGCAGCCTTGGCACAGTTGTGATTTCCAGACTTTCCTCTGCATTTGGCCATCATTTCAACATCTACAATTCAGTTTCCTGGGGAAAGAGCCTGCAGGGCACCATTCCTGCTGCCATTTACCCAAAAACATGGTATGTTTTGTGCCTGTTGCGTTTCTCTGAAGCCAGGCAATGTATTGACACTAAAATGCTGTGCAATATGAAATTAATTTATAGTGGTCATAGCCAGTAGGGCTGGTACAGTTCAAGTCTCGGAGTGTTTTGGGCTATAAATCTTGATTTTTGAGGGCTTCCTTATTTAATCTTATATATGGCTCAGCTATCAAAGCAGTTGCAGTGGTAAATGCCAGCGCTGGGCACTTGCTGTGACCCGCAGTGACACCAGGGGCAAAGCAAGAACAGCTCACTCGCATCTTGTCAAGCTTAAAGGAGCTTCAGGAACACACTGGCTGGTGAGCTGGAGGCTGAGGAGCCCCATTTAAAGCTGCTCAAGAGTCTTGAGATCATACCCATATGTAAAACTGCTGTAATCTGAGATGAGGGTGATGCCTGGGAAGCTGAGGATGTCCCCAGGACTAGCTGATGTGTTCCTGTGTTTGTGGTTGTTGCACCAGGATGTTGAACTCACTCTGCTGGTGTTTTTTTTTTCAAATCCTCTCAAAAAGCAGCTATTTTGGTGGCTCTCAGTGCCAGCGGTGACCACGGCTTGTCTGGTGGAGCAGCCAGCACTGATGCCAATAATTCCTTTGGCTCTTTTTCTGACTGAGTCAGATCACTCAAGCATTAACCTTAAAATAGCAACTATTTTTGCAGTTGTTATAATTAATCTCCTGTGTGTGTATGTTCTTTCCCCATCCCAGGCTCTGAGGCTTCACCACTCCCCTGCTGACCCACTCCCTGCTTTGGCACAAGAAAGCTCTTAGCAAAACTTGGCTTTTCCACAAAAAGAAAGCACAAAGTACAGGATGTGTGTGCTCTGCTTTGTGAGTTCACTGCCAGGCAAATGCCTTTGCTGTTGGTGTCTGCAGTCACAGATTCCTCGCTCATGTGGTCTGTTGGTTTTGGAGCATCTTCTTCATCTGATTTTGGGTGGGTGGATGTGGAAGGGAGATGTTCACAAGCTGACAGGTCTGGGGGTGACAGAGATGGCCACAAAGATGACAGTGATGGGTGGATGGATGTGTGGGGTTTAGTGATGCAGCAGGAAAAAGGGGGTTGGTGAAGTCTGAAGCCTGAGTCGACCCTGTGTGGAGCCTCATCCAGCCCTGGGAAGTGGAGGAGAAAGGCAGGGGATGGGCTGAGCCTGGATACTACTTACTCCATCCCAAATTTCCTGCCCCACAAACGGCTCCAGCCATGCCCAAGGTGGGGTTCAGACAGTCCTATGCTTGGGCTGTGTTACACCACTGATTTTTCAGGTCACAGCACAGCAGTGAGGGGGATGAAGGAGGAAAAAAACAACCTTTTGCGATGAAAGAGTGAGAACACAGTCGGGGAAATGCACCTCGCTGCTTGGATGCAGTGCTATTCCCGCGAGGCAACTGCAATCCTGACAATTAAATCAGGAAGGATGCGTTGGGGAAAACCCCAGTGATGGCGTCTGAGGATGCTGATTAAATGTGTGTGGTGTGGTTGAGCCCACGTGGAACAAAAGGCTGCGTGGCTGAGCCTGACAGACTTTGCTGTGTCCTGGGGGGGAAAGAATTCGGGGGTTTTATTAAACATTTTGAAGTAAATACCCAAGGAAGGAAAAGCTTTCTGCAGACACACACTCGGCTGTGCAGCCCACGCAGCTCCCAGCTTTTACAGTCAGTGCGTGGAGCATCCTCAGATCCCATCCCAACCTCCAGCGCTGGCGTGGCAGGAGAGGTAAAAGCTTCCCTTTTAGCAGGACCCCGCTCTGACCGCGGCAGCGACAGCAAATATCGCCCAGGGGATGATCATTTCCATGGCAGCGCGGTGCAATACGGGGAGCAGACAGCGGGTGCACCGCGAGCGGCACACGCTGTTGCCTAATCAAAAAGCCAGCCCGGGGCAGGGCTGGGCAGGCTCTGAGCTCGTCCTGCAGTCACTGGTGGTGAGGGGATGCGAGCAGTGCCCGAGGTCTGCCTTGGAAGAGAGAGCCAGGGGGATTTATAAAGCAAAACTTCCCTCAAGAGCTGGCCCTGCATTTTTTCTCTCTGAGCAAACAACCCAACTCCCTCCCCGGCACACTGACCACACTCAGCTGGGCACGATTGTCTTGTGCCCCGTCACTCTTTAGATTTCAATCCCATCAGCCCCAGGAGTCTTTCCGGGCTAGGGCTGTCTTTCTCTGGCTGTAGAAATGTCACTTTATCCCAGAAAATGCCACTGGTGTTGTTATTTAAACAATAATAGGGTTAAAGCTAATAATTAGGAAGCGAAAGTGACTGACTTGCACAGTTTCCGATTACTTTTCTCCTCTCGTCTGTGTGATCTGAGCTCTCTCCTCCGTGGTGGAGGCAGGGTAGAGTTTTAAATAGAATTAAATCCCTTTAACATCAGTTTTGCAGCAGCAGAGCTTGTGCTAAAATGCCTGTGCTGTGCAGAGAAGGTTTGGGACCTCGCTGGTCCCCCCAGTTGGGAGCAGGACAGGTTGTGCTCTGCACACATCAGGACACACCTGCTGCGACACAGTTACAGCCCAGGGACCACAGAGGAAGAAAAACACTGCAAAATATGGTGTTTTGCTGATGGGCAGCAAAGAAGGGGCTGCACAGGGCGTTTTGCAGCACATCTGAGCCCCAAGCTGGAATCTGCTGAGGCCTGTGCCGGAGTCACGGGCAGGCCTTTGTCCCTAAAAGCTCTGCAAATGTTGGAAGTGGCTGGGAGGGGTTGGAGGGGAGACACGAGCCTCGCAGAGCTCCCACTGCCACGTGTTGCCAGTCCCTCATGGCTCAGTGCTGTCCCCCCAGCTCGCCCCCAGGGTGTGCCACTGCTGGGACACGCTGATGGTGTTTTTATACCCTTCTGCCATAACGAGCTCGTTTGTGTGAGGCTGGGGAACAGCAGAGGAGGCGTTTCAGAAACATCCACTTGGGGAACGTATCCCTGGAGAAGTGTCAGGCAACATTTGGCTGGTTAAAAACAATAAAGGTGGGGAGAGCAGCGCTGTGTCAGCTGCGCTTCCCCGTCCCCTCTGCAAATGCCCTCAGTAAGTGTTGTGTTGGGCTCTCTGCAGCCTTGCAGACAGGTATCCAGGCACAGATTTTCCCCCTCCTTGGCTGCTACCACAGCAGTCCAGGCATGCCTGGGCAGCTCCAGCAGGGCCCTCATTGCAACACAGGCGGGAAGAAAACTGTATTTATCGTGTGCATCGGTACAGCTAATGACTGCACAGACACAGAGAGCTTTTGTGGAGGCATAAAACCCTGCGTGAGTTTGAGGTGGTGGAAAAGCTGGGTGCCACGGCTTTTAGCACTTGTATGGTTTCCTGGTTGCACCACAAACCTGCTGTAGGTTGAATCTGTGGGCTTTTTGAAGCCATTGAATTTGGTCTCTCTATATGCACGTTGCAGGGAGTGAGTGAAGGCTCACAGGAGCCCTGGGCTGAGAGAACTGTAGAGTCACAGAATGGTTTGGCTTGGAAAGGATTTTAACCTCCTTCCAACCCCCCTGTCATGGGCAGGGATACCTTCCACTACACCAGGTTGTTCAGAGCCCCATCTAACCTGGCCTTGAACACTTCCAGGGCTGGGGCAGCCACAGTTTCTCTGGGCAACCTGTGTCAGTGCCTCACAGGAAAAGAATTTCTTCCTAATATCTAATCTAAACCTGCCTTCTTTCAGTTTGAAGCCATTCCTCCTTGTCTTGTCATTCCACGCCTTTGTCCAAAGTCCCTCTCCAACTCTCTTGTAGCCCCTTTATGCACTGAAAGGGGCTCCAAGGTCTTCCCAGAGCCTTCTCTTCCACAGTCTGAACACCCAGAGTTCTCTCAGCCTGAATGTCCTGAGCTGGAAGGGATCCACAAGGATCCAATTCCTCCAAGTTGCAAGCAGACCCCACTTCAGCTGGGGCACAAAGGTGTTGGAAGGTGCTTCTACAGCTGGAGGCATTGCTGTCCCACCAAGGTCACCCCCGCACTCCGAGCTCAGCCTCCCTCCATCCTCCGTGTTCCCACCGCCAGCTCCCGGATCCCCTCTCTCCTCACCCCTCAGCTGCCCATCAACCCCCCCCGGGGCAGCGCCCCGACCCCCAGCGCCCCCCAGTCTGTTCCCGCTGATCCCTGCGGAGCGGCTCGGGGCGGGATGGGGGGATTATCGCGGCGGCGGGGGCCGCTCTGGAATCCCCCTCCCTCCATGGGGAGCGGCGGGGCCGTGCCGGAATTCCTTCCTCCCCAACCCGCCCCATCGCGCTCCCCATCCCGCTCCCGCAGCGCGGGGCGGGACGCGCCGCCCCCCACCCGCCCCTCCGCGCCCCCGCGGCCGCTCCGCGCCCGGCGGCGGAGGGCGGGGAGGGCGCGTTGTAGCCGGGGACACGCACACGGACACGCACACGGACACGCACACGCAGGGCGGCCCCGCAGCGCGGCTCTGCGGCCGAGCCCCGCCAACAAAGACCCCTCTCCGCTCCCCCCCCCCCCCGCCGGCCGCGCCGCCGCCCCCCGCGGGATGTAGCCGGGCCGGGAGCCCCGCCGAGGCAGCGGCCCCGCCGCTCCGAGCCCCGCAGCGAGGCCGGGAGGCGGCGGGCTCAGAGGCGCTGCCGCCACCATGGGCAAATCCAACAGCAAGTTGAAGCCTGAAGTTGTGGAGGAGCTGACCAGGAAAACGTACTGTGAGTGCCCCCGGGGGGCTCGCCGGGGGGATGCCGGGGGTGCGGGGGGGGGGTCCGCGGTGCCGCCGCTCCCCCCGGGTCGGTGCCGCGGCGAAGCGGCGGTTCCTGCGGGGCCGCTCCCGGGGAGGGCGCAGGCTCGGCCGGGCTTTGTTGGAAGAATTCAGGGATTGGCTTGGGAGGAGGAAAAAACCCATAAGGCAGCGGAGACACGGAGAGGGGCAGCGAGCCAGGGGAACGCGCCGTTTTCTTACAGAAAACCATCCTCCGTGGCCTATTTCTGAGCCTCCGGGAACGGCGGGGCCAGGGCCGCATCCTGCCCGCCCGCGGCGCCCACCGGAGCATCGCGCCCTCGCTCGCCGACCCCCCGCCCATGCCCCGAGCATCCTTTCCCCGGGCTGCCCGGCCCCCGGTACCCAGGGCCCGCCGCGGGGATTGTCCTCCTCGGAGCCAGGCAGCAGCTCCCGGAGCGGGGAGCTGAGCGTCTGGGTGGCTTCCAAAGTTTGGGTGCGTTAGTTGGAGGGGTTCCCTTTGTTATTGCGCTCTGAAGTGAAGAGACCTACACCGGCGAGTTCGGTATTTTTCTGAGTAGCTCAGTATCGGTTTAATAACCCGATTTTCTAAGCGAGTGGCTTTCCCGTCTGGACCTCCACGTTAATCTTATTAACGTGGCTGGTGCCTGAGCCATCCAGTTTTAGCAAAATCAGGGTGTTTTTTTTTCCTGAAGGATGCACAAAGGAAACAAAGGCTTTGGTGGCTCAAGTTTGCCTCCCCGCTTGCAGGTCGCAGATATTCCCTTAACGTGCAGCAGACCTGCGAGCTCTCCCCGCTGTCATTGCTGCAGTCCCACGGCAGCGCTTACCCAAAAAGGCAATAGATTAGGATGCAGCAAGTTCTCCCATATGGAGAAGAGGCAATACTGGTGCATTGCACAACCCTACACGCGGGGTTGCTCTCTGCCGTGGCAGAGCAGGCAGGAGGAGGGCAGGTTGTGGGGGGGGGCATGTCCTCACAGCCAGAGAGGGTGTGATGGTTGGGGTACCCCAGCTGGGCTTCCTCAAAGTGCTCAGGGAGAAGAAATAGTGAGAAAGAGGCAGTGCTGGCTGGGCACAGCCCCTGTCTGAGCCCTGGGTTTTGGTGTCCTCACTGCAGCTGTCACCCACAGCAAGTGCAGCCACACTGGGCCAGGTACAGTTATTGCTGTGCTGCAATTGCAGCCACTGTGACGATCTGATCTCTGGTGGAGAGGGGTCTGGGGACAGCCAGCCCCAGCACAGCCTCATCTGCTGGTGATCTCCTGTGTGCTGGGCTTTCTGCACCCTTGGGGTGGCTCCTCTCTGTGCCAGGAAGGTGCAGTCGATGTGGGGCACATGGGAGTGATCTCCCTTGTCTTACCTGCAGCCATGGCCACCCAAACACGGTGCTGCTGAAACCATCATCTGTAGGCACAGGGATGTTTCTTCGCTGGATAAGGCCAGCAGAGAGTCATTGCCTTTTGCATCACTTCATTCCCAACTTTCTGCTCCTCTCTTTCGGGTGCCCTCCTCTTTCCACTGCACTCTTTCCAAGAAAGGTTATGGTTCTCCCATCTCTCCCTTGGTGAGTTCCCAGCCTGCCTGTGGATTTGCCTGCCTGCTCTGGACCTCTCACTGCCTCTTTGCCAAGGTGCAACAGACCCATGTACCTGTGCAGGTGAGGCAGCGGCACCTGGCAGCCGCACCACGAGGCAGCACATGGCTCTTGGCATGGCCAGAGCCTGGTGCAGCATCCCAACGTGCTCCAGCAGCGTGTGGCTGGTGGTGTGGTGCCTGTCAGGGAGAGCCGTCGCTAATTCCAGACTCTGTTTGTTGATCTCTGCTCATTCCACCTCTCGTCTCTGGGATTAATTACTTTTGCTGAGCGTTTCTGCCCCTTTTCTGCAGCTGTCAAGGCGAGCGTGCATTCCCTTGTCTGGCAAAGCACTTCACAGGGCCCTCCCAGGCACAGCTGAGAGCCTCTGATTTATCTTCAGACCCTGGGAGATTGGAAAGATATTAATTTCCTTCTGTGTTTTGGGGAATCCAGGCAGAGGAGAGGCAGGTAGGAGGGCAGGGCTGTGCTGAGTACGGCGGGAGGGACTGATCCAGACCCCTGTGCTGTGGCTGTTGGAACAGCTGGAGCAGGGGATAATCATATCCACAAATCCATGGATTTGTGGGGCCTGCTTGGGGGGTTTTGCTCCACAGCACGGTGGTATTTCAGCACCTTTCTGTCAGACACTGGTGACCATCCTAAGAGCATCCCTGGCCTGTGGTGCCCATCCCATGTTCTGGCTGCCACATTACTGAGCAGATGCCATCCCTGCCTCGTGCACGGTGCTGTTCCTGCTGCTGCTACAGCACATCTGGGCAGATGTCTCTGGGAGCCTGAAACTGGCAGGTAATGATGGGGACCAGCTTTTATCCCAGGGAGGTTCCTGTGGCAGTGTGAGCCGTGGCTGTGGTATGTGAAGGGCTTCTCCCACGCTGGGATTTCCTTCCATTGCATCATTTTCTGTTTGTGTGATTTCCACACAAAACGAAGCAAATAACAAAAAGCCCCTTCTCGGTTCTGCAGGATCAGAGGGATGGGGAGATGTCAGCCTCCCTTTCCCCACCCCACACGGCTTTTCTGCACATTTATCTCATCCATGGGACACTGCAGTCCCTGCCGGTGTCTCCTCAGTGGTATTCCAGTGCCTGGTGGCTTCTTGTGTCCCCTGTCCCCTCTGGGGCTTCCATCTCCTATTTGTGGCATTTTATTGGTCATAGCAATCCTGGTACAAGCAGGTGGTGGGAACAGCCAGGAGAGAAGTCTGGGATGTTTCACGTGCCAGGACAATTGTAGGCAAGGTGGTTGAGCTGAGGATGCTGCAGAGCTGCCGTCAGCGGCCTCTGTGAGAAATGTTTTACTGCATGGATGCAGAGCAGGTTGTCCCAGGCCCTGCTGGGAACCGGACATGGAAAGGCAGGAGCCTGGAAACCTCGTCTCTTGGCTCCCCTCCCCACTCTGCTCCTGACTTACAGTGCTGGGGGCCAGATTTTAATGGCACTTGGACACCTAAAGGCAGAGAAGGACATCTGAGGGCTTCTTTGAAGTGCTGGCTGCCCAAGTTCTGTTGGTTTGGACCCATCACCATGTGCACTTCTTGCATCTCCAGGCACCTGAGTGCCTGGCAGTGCCACGCTCACCCATCTGCCAGGTGCTGGAGCAGCGCTGGTGGGGAGAGCCAGGCTGAGGGGTGAGGATTTAACCCTCCTCAGAGGCCAGGTTGGTGCCACACAGGAGCATGCAGGAGAAGCCAATGCCTAGTGAGAATAATACTGAATAATAAATTATGCAATTCTTTGTACTTCTATACATCCTTTCATCTGAAAGCCCTCAAAGTGCTTTATAATAATTAATTTATTAATCTTCCTCATGCCTCGTTGGGGTAGCTCAGAGATGCAGTTTTGTGTTGTGTTCCTCGAGGTGGTAACTCCTGAGACTTGAAGGAACCACCATCCTCCCTGGATCACGTCTGACAACCCCTCTTCTATGGAGATTTAAACCTGAGCCAGGTGCTCAGGTTGCTCAAGGGCCACTGTGGGACTTGGGTTTCTGCTTAAGAGCCTTGTGGGGCCATTCAGAGGGTTCTGCTAAGCTGGAGATTTATGAAGGTCCTGGGGTGTGGCTGCAGCCTGCATAAAGTGTGTAAAGTGCAGATGTGCAGTTGTGGGTGCAGAGTATGTGTCCTGGGTGGAAATGGCTTGACATGGACTCCTGGGAGAGAAATTGGGAGAGAAATACAGTGCCAAGTGTCCCTTCTTGCAGCAGCGCTCCCAGGCCAGCCCAGCCACAGCACTGGCAACCCTTGAAATCATGAAGCAGACTTAACAACGTGAGGTTGTTTCAGAAAGGCATGTTAGCCCTTTTTTTTTTAATGTTTTTGGGGAAGATTGGCTTTCAGGGTTCCCTTTGCATTGCCCGTGTGCAGAACTAACGCTGTATTATTTTTGATGCCAACTGCAATAGCTGAGCAATCCGTCACGCTCGGAACCCTGTCGGTGCAGCAGCATCACTGCTGGGGCTGGGTTGGGATCAGGGGGATGGTCCTGGTGCTCTGGAGGCCACAGTGGGGCTCCAGTGAAGGCGTGGGAGCCACGGCAAGGGTGCCAAAACGGCACCCAGGCTGCAAAGTGGGTGCGGGGAGAGGAAGATGCTCTTTTCCCAAGCACCGCGTCCCACCCACTGTGATCTATTTTGTGGATTTTTAAACTCACTCCGGCATCATCATTTTCTGCTCTCTTACAATAAGCCACAAAATTGGCTCTGTTGCTCGACAGTAATGCAGGGAATTAATGGGCATTAGTTTAAGAGCAAATGATAAACATATTGATTTGTAGTTACGGGGGTACGTGGCGGCGGGTGGAATTCTGTGGGAAAGGAAAGGAAATTCTACGATCGCAGCAGTTTTTTCAGCCAGGAAAATCACTCGGTTCCTCCCTGGGGGAACCAGGCTGGGGCTTTACTCCATCGTGCCGCCCCTGTGCTGGGGAAATGTGCTGCTGGGGCGGTGGGCAGGAGCAGAGGAGGGACCTCGGTAGCTCCCCACTGCTGCTGGTTTATTTTTAGCCTCCAGAGTGTTTGGCCCCAGGCACTGGGTTTCTCTGCCAGGTTGGTTCGTGTTGAAATCCCGCCTGTTGCTCATCCAGCAAAAAGTGGGGTGAGCTGGCTGGGTGGCTACGGACCCATTATCCCTCGGTGGCAATGCTGGGTGGAATTTCCACAGTGATGGGTGACTTTTAACAGGGGATGGAGTGACAGGACAAGGGGGAATGGCTTCAGACTGAGGGAGGGCAGGGTTAGGTTGGATATTAGAAAAGAAATTCTTGATGGTGAGGATGGTGAGGCCCTGGCACAGGTTGCCCAGAGGAGCTGTGGCTGCCCTATCCCTGGAAGTATTCAAGGCCAGGTTGGACAGGGCTTGGGGTCCCAAGGCAGGA